GCCCAGAACTGGATGCAGTACTCCAGCTGCGGCCTGACCAGTGCCGCATAGAGGGGGAGGATCACCTCCTTGGACCTGCTCGAGATGCATCTGTGGATGCATGACAAGGTGCGGTTGGCCTTCCTGACCGCGTCTCCACATTGCCAACCCATGTTCATCTTGAAGTCAATGATGACTCCAAGATCCTTTTCTGCCTCTGCACTGACAAGAAGGGAGTTCCCAGCCTGTAGGTATGGTGCTGGTTGTTCCTCCCCAGGTTCATCACCTTGTACTTGTCGGTGTTGAATCCCATCCTGTTCTCATCCACCCACCCCTGTAACCTGTCCAGACCCGATTGCAGCCTATTCCTCCCTTCTAGTGTGCCCACATTCCCCCACATCTTAGTGTCAGCAGCAAATTTGAACAGGTGCTTTTTACCCCCTCGTCCAAGTCACTGATGAAGATGTTGAACAGTGCGGGCCCGAGGACCAAGTCCTGGGGCACCCCACTGTCCACGTCCCTCCAGGTCAAAAATGACCCGTCCACCACCACTCTCTGGGTGCGGCCCTCCAGCCAGTTGGCGACACATCTGACTGTGTGGGTGTCGACACCACAGCCCCCAGTTTCTTAATGAGAACGGGGTGAGAGTCAGTGTTGAAGGCCTTCCGTTCAAGCACTTTCATCCTCCTATAGCTACCATTACACACAGAGATGTAGTCATTGTTCACATTTTCCACTTGAAATGATTTTCCTGATGGAGGCCTTTAAAAAAATAAATAAATAAAAATTGAAGATTTCCTGGGAAAACTTTGCAAAAACGAACACTTTCCACCAGAAAAAGAAAGTGAAGCCACTGCTACAAACTAGAGAGTTTTGGTTTGGAATTGTCTATTTCAGGTCTCCCAGAATGGAGTTCCAAGAAGTAATTTCTAACATGACATTTCCTACTTGACTTTTCATCCCAATTTAGGACTAAATTATTAACATGTTCATAATGAGACAGGATGTCCTTTTTTCCAGCCAATTCTAGTCATTTTGTCTAGAGAATCTCAAGTTAGATATGAATGAATCTCGCCCAGTCCTTGGCCTCATCGACTCCTTGGAGCAGCAAGTTCAAGGAGCTTTTGGGGCTGCAAGCCTTCAGGGCAGAGCCTTAACACCATCTGGGATGAAGGGGTCCTGATTCATGTTTGGGCTTCCTAGCTGCCACAGCACGAGTGCAAGTGTCAGATCCCCCTTATTCTTGTACCATGAGTAAGGAAAAGTAACAACCCTGTGTAGACACAGGTGGACCTCAAGGAGATCAAATGCAGAGCCTCATGGGTATGTGAACTGTTCTGGGCCACACTTTTCAAGAGTTGTGATGACTTGGTGGTAACAGATTGGAGCTTAAATCTTATCGCCTCCCTTACATGAGGATGCCTCCTAAAAGTCTTCATCTTCTTCTCTTAGGTAGGTGTTGCCAGGAACCAATGATTCAACACCATCCACCAAAAAAAGGCATTTTAACTTACCACCATTTTATCTGCGTGAAATGTTCTTTGGTAGCAAATGCCGGACTGAGTCACCACGATGCCTTGGCCGTGCCGGTGGTCATCCTGCCACATCCCAATGTATCTCTCCCCCCTGGGACACAAGAAGAAAGGAAGAAGTTGGATGATATGTAGAAAGATAACAGCAAAAATATATATATATAACTTGAGGTTAAATGAAATACTTGCTACATCTCTAGGAAACGTTTGGGATATTAGGGAAATTGTGCTGATGAAAGCTTGCCATTTAACAGTTTGACTGTTGATCCAGATGAAATACTGTGTTTTCATAAACATTTCATCCATAAGGTGCAAATCTACCCTGCCTTCTTCATGAACACCCCAGACACAGTTACTCATCCACATGAGGGCAGATGCAAGTTGGAGAACCATGTGCACTGGGTGCTTTTCTATCCCGGTATCTTTGCAGCCATCCTGCATAACTTACGGATCACTAACAGGTCCTGACAGCAAGACACGGTGTTGTAATGCAACCTAAATTGTCCACGTGCCCATGCTCAAGCCACTTGGAGGAGGCTGGGACTTCACCACCCATTACTAGATCCACAGTAATTGCCTGTGTGCCCACTTTTACCCACAGGCAAATAAAAGCTAACTTGCTGTAGCTGTACCCCATGGGAAATCAGCATGAAGCAGCTGTCATGCAGTAGGCTTCACCCATCTCTGCCAAAGTAACTTGCTCAGGAGCATGGCAACACAGGTTTTTCTGAAAGGGGCACTGCAAAATATTTGGACCTTGTGCTAAGGCAAACTGTGAGTCAGCTTTCTTGATATCAACATCATGATAGACCTGTTTAGAATAAGTGCTGGGACATACAACTCTATCAACGCTTATTGTTCTGGTTGTTGTTCAAGGACCTCCATCTAACAGGACCTCCAGCTAACCCAGGAGGTGCACAGCCCCATCAGGGAGATGACTTGTTGGACCTGGTGCTGGCCACGGGTGATGACCCAGTGACGGAGCTGCGGGTGCTCGACCACCCGGGCGACAACCATCATCGCCTGCTGGGAGTCACCATCCAGCGCAAGGTGGCAAAGGTCTGCAGCAAGGCAGCATCCCTGGACTTCAGGAGGGCGGACTTCGATAAGCTACGGAGAATAGTTGGGGAAGCGCTAAGGTCCCAGAGGGGAGGGGAGGGGAGCCGGGTGTCCAAGGAGAGGA